ATTTCAAATTTATAACCCTTTAAAGGGTTTTTACCCATATATTTTGGTGGCTACTAGCATGTACAACCGTTTGCACTGATGATGGATTGTTTAATCCGAAAACGTTTTGCAATGTGTTTGTGATAGCCCGTTTGAGGCAATTTTATATACCTTTTATAAAGGATTTTAACAAATTTTTTTCATCTATTCTGACTTCCATTTTGTTGTTTTGGTATATGTTTTTGATAGTTTTTAGAATATTTAGGGGAACTTCAGTATTGTTTATTCGTCTTCCGGGTTTGGACCGTGTCATTTGTGAGTGACCCAAAAGTGGGTTGAGATGAACCCACTTTTGGGTCACTCACAAATGACACGGTCCAAACCCGGAAGACGAATAAACTATAATTCTGACTCTGGCCGTGGAAGCCTACGATTTCATTTAACTTCAGTATTATACAGAAGATGAATTACATCTTTGAGTCTTACTCTGTCAAACGCTTTCTTTAGGTTTATCAGACACAGAAATGCTGATCTATTACACTCTAGTGATTTCTCAGTAATTTGCTTTATAACGAATATTGCATCTGGACGCGATCTTCCACTACGAAAACCATGTTGATCATCTGCTAAACTTATCCTCTGATTTATTAGCACTTGTAAAATTTTAGTTCTAAGTTTTAGCGTAGTATTTAACAACTTTATATCTCTGTAGTTTTTTTTTGATGTTTTTTATCTCCTTTTTTTGAATAGTAGACTTAATTCGCTCGTTCTTCATTCTTCCGGTATTTTATTGTGTTTTACAATTTTATTAATTAATGTGATTAATTGTTCTGTCATTTGTGCTCCACAATATTGAAGTAATTCATTAGGTAGTCTTTACCTGCTGCTTTTCTGTTTTTCAGGTTTTCAAGTATTTTCCGAACTTCCTGAACATTTATATTAAGTTCTTCAGTTGTGGTAATTTCTGGTGTTTCCGGTTCTAGCGTCGTTTATTCTTCTTCATATATAGCTTTTTTAGGTAGTCAATCCACGTATCCTTTTCTGTGTTTTGGTTCTATTATATCCTTTACCTTCGTTCGTTGACCTCTTAAGAAGCGCCATATTTCCTTTTTCAAACCGTAAAGATCATGTTCCATTTCTTTCAAAAAACGTTCCCAGTGATTATTTTTAATTTTTCTTACAAGTGCATGTCTGTCCATTTAAAAATTGCGGAATGATTCGCTCCACTGTAGTACATAATTATGTTTTTTCGATTTTTTAAACATATTTCTCGCAATTTCGTTCTTTTATTCTTGCTTTAATATTGATTTTCCAATAATTTTCCTATATCTAGTACATTTTTCCATATACGTCTATCGTTTTTTTTTCTAAGAACGATGAACCAAGGAAATAATGACCTTTAAAACTGTATGCACTTCTCTATAATCTGTCGCAGTGTCAAGATTGACACATATGCCAGTTTATTAAAACACATAAACAAAATATACGAGTATTTGTGTTTAAATCTCATTTAAACAAAACTATTTTAATCAGATTTATAAGTCAATAGAACTCCAAATCAAACTTCATATAAATTTCGAGTAGTTCATTAATATTGCTGTCATAAGTATCAAACTTGTTACAAGCTTGTTATAAACACCAGTACTAAACAGCAAATAATCAAATTACCTGAGAAATCAATGAACTTGGCAGTAATTAACCTCTTCCCCTAACAACATGCAAACGTTCAAGGTATGAAAACTAGTTAATCCTTGCGGTTACATAAATCGTCCGAATTTGGCAACACCGGGTGGTTACTACATTATCCTAGAGGTTCATGCGTCGGCGTCGATGTAGCATGCGTCGTGCAGGAGCATGGCGAGGGGAGTGTTTCGGATTTGTGATTGGGGAAGGTTAAAGACCGTCAATGCCGAAAGGACAACGTTTCAAAGTTGGAGGATTGCGAACTCCAGGATTATTGTTTTAAGATGTACTCGGATTTCCAGAGAATGTTTTTGGTTTAAGACACACTTTATTAGGAATTGGGATTGGGATTTTAAGGAAAAAGGGATTTAAATGTTACTACTAAGCTACGATTGGGCTATACAGGATTTAATCCAAATAAGATATATAGTGACAAAAAAAAAGGAAAACTTGCAACAATATTTTTAGAAATTTCTCTTTTTTTTATTTCAAGTGAACTTTTATTACCGACGCATGTTTCTATTGTGATAAAGAAAAAGTATTGTGAAAAGAAAGTAGAGATCTGGGAAAGAAAGGGGCTCAGAAAAATCTTCAGAGGAATAAAGACGGCAGAGAATATTTGGAGAAGACGAACAAATAAATAAACAATGAGGATGTATGGAAAACCAGCAATGTGAAAATACCAGCCCAAAGAGCTGAATAACTTAGTCACATTATACGATTAATTACTATTAAATTGGGAATAAGCCACAATTAAAGATAAAAATACGTTTATTGACGTTTCAATTTCCACTTCGGAAATCGTTCTCAACATACATACAGTAAATTAAACAAATTTTGTTTTTTTTTTGTTACATAGTGAAAAATTCTTCTAATAATTTAATTTTATCTGACTCATTTATATTGACAATTCAGACATACATTATGCATTTTAAAGTAGACGACTTTAAAATGATATTGCCAATATTGTTGAGTTGCGCTCCTGGGACGACTTTACTTATAAGATAGTTCATTCGATTACATGAAATCAACTTTAACTTGAGAATATCCGTCAGAAAAAAATCATAGCATGTAATTCGTCTTTAAAAAGACAAACTCATGACATGATGACAGTAAAATTCTCCTGTTAGTGATTCCATAGTAAATTATGAGGGAAAACCAGGAAAAAAACCTCATAATACTATCCCGACATTGTAAGTATTTGTTCGTGAATTTCGTTTACCTTCAACAAACATCAAAATTCTGATTTTATATGTTACGTTATTTAAAAAACATAAATGATGCATCCTCTATATGTTACTGACTTACTAATACTGGTATTTTCTTATTAATAACTTCCTCTTTCAATATTGGTAACCAGATCCTACTACATTCTGCCGAGGAATTTGCGACAGAATTGGCCTCATTTAGCATAATTAGAGCAGCTTCTTTGATTTTTCTTTTTTTACCATCCGTTTCTTTTAGGACTACATTTGAATTATTCCATTGAACCCTATGTTCATTATCCCATGCGTGTTTACATATTTGAGATCTATCAAATTCTTTATTTTTAATATAAGATTGATGTTCACTTATTCTAACATTTAATGGCCTTGATGATTCACCTAAATAAAACTGATCGCATTCACAAGGTATTTTATAAATGCAATTCTTTGTCCTTTCTTGTTCATTGTTAGGTTTGGTTTTTGACAAAATAGATCTCAACGTGTTTGTTGTTTTGAATGTTGTTGAAATGTTGAAATAAATTCAACATTTCATTTCATTTCGTTTTCCCTCATAATTTACTATGGAATCACTAACAGGAGAATTTTACTGTCATCATGTCATGTGTTTGTCTTTTTAAAGACGAATTACATGTTATGATTTTTTTCTGACGGATATTCTCAAGTTAAAGTTGATTTCATGTAATCGAATGAACTATCTTATAAGTAAAGTCGTCCCAGGAGCGCAACTCAACAATATTGGCAATATCATTTTAAAGTCGTCTACTTTAAAATGCATAATGTATGTCTGAATTGTCAATATAAATGAGTCAGATAAAATTAAATTATTAGAAGAATTTTTCACTATGTAACAAAAAACAAAATTTGTTTAATTTACTGTTTGTATTTTGAGAACGATTTCCGAAGTGGAAATTGAAACGTCAATAAACGTATTTTTATCTTTAATTGTGGCTTATTCCCAATTTAATAGTAATTAATTTACAATGCCACAAGAAAATAGCTTCAGAACAACACATTATACGAATGCCAGAAAATCGAAATGTTAAAACAATACTGAAGGAGGGAGAAATGCGGAAAAAAGAAGAGGACATTCAAAGAAGAAATGGTTGGAAGCAGTAAAGTCAGACTTGTCAGAAATAGACGTGAGAAATTTGAGAGAGAAAGCAACGGTCCGAAAAAATGGAGTGAAATAACACAAGTTTTTAGAAGTCAGAGAAGCCTAGAAGGCCTGTATCATAAAAAAACAAATGAAAAAATTTGTTCAAAAAAATAAAAAAACTGTTTCGTATTTATCACTTTAGCAGGCAGTTTCAGAACCTTTTTCTTAATAATCACTTTGATTTCTATTACAAAGCAATTTTCATTAAAATTTCAGTCACATTTTCATCCTCGGGCCATATATTCATTGTCATGCACTATACCATGAAAAGCCAAACAACAAATAAATCCGCAGAGTAACTGCGGAAAAGGCTTTATTTCGTTTTTTTTTTCTTTGTTAAACATCGACGAACCCAAAAAGTGTAACGTTGATATGCAGCATCCTATTTAATTAAAGTATGTCATCCGTGTCAATGAAACGTTTCGTTTGATCAAATACATTGTTCTCGGTTCATCCGAAAGTATTGTCCTATATCACAAAATACAGTGTGTTTAAGGTAAAGACTTTTGGCTGTATAAAAAGTTCGGCACTAAAAAGAAATACAAATAAAAATATAAATAGACAAACAAAAAGGTATGGTAAAAATGAAGGAATGGAAATAACTAAATCGACAAATTTAGGCGAGTATTATGTTGATGAATACTTGATAAAAGCAAAATTTATAAAATTCCTATTATTGCTACAATTCCGTAAGAGTTATTTCATTTAAAAGAAGTCCCTTGACGAAAACGAATAATAATTAAAAATCTATAATGTTCTAGACGTCATCGAAATGTCTCATAAGGTTTGGAAAGTCAAAAAATGTATACAAATAGGAAGTTGACAGTTCAAGACAGACACTCACTTAGGTTAAGCAACGATTTATTCGTGTTAATGTCAGCAAGTATGTTGATAATGTCTAGTACCGCACTGATAAATCGATTACACCAAAGCATAATAGATAATAAAATACTTACGCTGGTGAAGGAAGCTGGCTGCCAGAAGAGAAAGGAGAGTCATTGGCGTCGTAGAAATCGTCTTCCCCTTCGGAACTGGAGTACGACATATCCGGTACCACCAGAGACGTTGGGTTATCTAAAACAAAAAAAAAATATTTGATGAAATTAATTTTCACGCACAATTGTTTCCTATTCTATTTTTGGTGACAGAATAAATTCGCAACAATCAGATAGAAAAGCTTAAATTTCCTTTCAAATAAAGTAAGGATAAGGGAATACGACAGGAATGAAGAATATAAACTACAAACTCAAAAAACGTTAACAAAAAGAGAAATCAAACGATTTCTACCTGGCGAAATCGAATTCAAATCTTGACCACTGTGCTTTCTAAAACTTGCAATGCAAACAGCTTTATAAATTACTCAGCAAGAGAATACTTGGCAATATTGCATTCCACATGCCATTCATTATGGTCAAAAATCGTAGTGAATTCAATTTCTGGTACTATATCACAGCATAGTATGCTGTGACTATATTTTATTTTTTTACTCCGTTTGGAGTACCAGAAATTGAATTCACTACGAATTTTGACCATGATGAACGGCATGTGGAATGCAATCTGATTCCCTTGCCGAGTAATTTATCAAGCTGTTTGCTTTGCAAGTTTTAGAAAGCACAGTGGTCAAGATTTGGATTCGATTTTGCCAGGTAGAAATCGTTTGCTTTCTCTTTCTCTCTTCTCTCTTTCTCTTTTCATTTCTTTAATAGCTTGCGGCTATTAAATTATTACTATTGCGGATATTTGCTTGCCGCCGCTCTGTATTAAAACAAAAATCTAGTACCGTCTGTATATTTCAAAAAACGTTCTTCAGAAGTGTGACATGGCGAGCAAATTTAATAGAAAATAGCTGATTCCTACGTATCACTGTAGACATCATTTTTTTGGAATGATGTGTTAATGCAGCACCAAAAAAAAAGTAGCAGTAGCTGGTAAGCGACGGAATATTATTACTAATAAGTCAAGCTGAAGAACAAATTTAAATAGTGGTATTTTAGTTTGAAACTATCATAACAAAGAACGATCTAACAGAATTAAGTCAGAATAGATTATAAAATTAGTGTTTATGTTTTAATTTCTTTATAATTTTTCTTCTGTAATCAATTTTTTTCATTTATTTACGTAGTGCCACGGTTTTTTCTTTGTCAACTTTTCTTGACCTCAATTTTTTGTTTCTTATAGTTGCATTTCATATTATTTTCAATAATCATCAGTACGACGATGATTATTACAATTACAATCTGGTCATAAATGACCAATGAGCAATATTAATTTAAGCTAAATTACTTCTTCTTCTTCTAGTTCCATGACCGTTATCGATCGTTGGATATCATGTTGGCTACCATATTCGCTATCGTGACTTTATTGACAGCAGCTCTAAATAACGATGTAGTTGATTTTCCATACCATTGCCTTGGATTTTTCAGCCATGATGTTCTTCTTCTACCAGGACCACGATTACCTTGGATCTTTCCCTGAATGATCAGATGTAAAAGATCATATTTTTCAGGGTGTCTCATAATATGACCGAAGTATTCCAGCTTGCGTTTCTTTATTATATTGACCAGTTGTGTTGTTTGGTTCAGCCGTCTAAGGACCTCCTCATTTCTAACTCTGTCGACCCAGCTTATTTTCAGTAGTCGTCTGTATACCCACATCTCAAAGGCTGTCAAGCGTTTAAGCATAGCCTCAGTTAGGGTCCACGCTTCTACTCCATACAGCAGGACAGGAAAGATGTAGCAAGATATCATACGAACTCTAAGGTCAATGCTAAGATCATGACTGCAAAGTACGTTTCTCATTTTTACAAAGGCAGCTCGGGCTTGTTCTATTCGGCTTTTAATTTCTGCGGTTGGATCCCAGCTCTCATTGATATTACTGCCGAGATACACGAGTTTCTCTACTCTGTCCAGTGTGGCATCTCCGACTTTTATACCGTCATCATGTATATAATTTTGTTTGCTAACTATCATATATTTAGTTTTCTTATCGTTGAGTTTTAGTCCATACTGATCACAAGTCTGTTTTATTTTGTTCATTAGATTTTGAAGGTCTTCTCCGCAATTGGCAAGGACTAAGGTATCGTCGGCATATCTAATATTGTTGACGGTTACTCCATTCACAATAATACCTTCGGTTGTCTCCAACAAATTACTACTATTCCTTAAAAATAAGAGCTAACCCTATACCGTATCTTATCTAGTACAAGAATAGTGCACTATCTTCTGGCGTCAACAAGGCCGAACACAAGGATTGATTGCTCTAAGAAAACGGTTCTCGACTACCAAGTCTATTGCAAATTAATGGTTTTCAGAACATGGAATACCAATTGGGATGCGAACAATTTATCGTCGAATTCGCAATTTTGACATTTTTTCAGATCGGCCACACTGGGTGCAACCTCTTACACCTGAACATCGAAGTAATCGTTATGCGACAGTCACCATGAACTTCTTTGAACAGGTTGAAGTCAATATTTTACTCTGGTCCTCGAGATGCCCATATTTATCCTCAATTGAAAACGTGTGAGACATGAAAGGTCGGATACTTTTGCATTTTTGGTTAAGACCTTTTTCTGTGTATTCATTGTTTACTACGTTTAACAGAATTTTAAGGTCTTCTAGACACTCTGACATTATGGCGGTATCATCTGCATATCTGTTATTATTAATTTCACCACCGATTTTCTAACAGATGCGCTATGATTATTTAAGGTTACTTCACACACTGATTCAAAGTAGGCATTAAACAATATTCGTGGCGTAACAAATTCCTGTCTGATGCTACTCTTAATAGAAACTTAAACTGAAACCTAAAACTGAAACAACAAGTCTAAGCATTGAAATAGTAATGTATGTGGTACGTTATCAAAGGCTTTCTCGAAATTTATAAAACATACATGAATATTTTATTCGAAAATCGCAAAAGTATTTCACTAGTAATCTCCTCACAAAGTTGATATATGTGACAATGCAATATTTCCCTAATAGTTTTGAGTGTGTGACTGATTAAACTAATAAGTCGATAGTAGCTACATTATGTAGTGTTACTTTTTTGGAAATAGAGTGTTTCAACTGTACTGGCGGAAATTTCTAGGAAACGTAAAGCCAAACATGTTCACACACTTTCTTCCAGTTATCTACAGTTACTCTAGCAACTTCCTGTTCTACCAACACTTTTACGTCTTCTAACTTAAAATAAACGTTTTATTTTGGAACTTCATTTTTTATTTGCGCCCAAACCATTTCTATAGGGTTCAATTCTGGATGATATGGCGGATGTTTTAAAGAAACATGTCCACATTCTTGCAGCACTTTGTCAAATTTATATTGAATATAATCTTGTTTGTGTCATTTCATGATTTCAAACAATTGCGGTTTTAACATTGACGTTACAAATGGTAATCTTTTTTCTGTCAACCAAGATATCATATCCATTTTTTTACAATTACTGATGGGTGCTTTATTAATTTATACATCATGACATGACGTATTATTAGTACCAACAACAGATCCAACAGGCAAATTTGGGATTAACTGTTCTTTCATCCATTTTTCATAATTTTCTGAATTCATATCATTATGATAATCTTCTGTCTTAGCTCCTGACTTAAAAATCAAAAGGGCACTCTGTGTGAAACCCATCTCCCCACCACCATGTACGATAACTAACCTACTTCCTTTTGAAATGTTTTTGAACAATCCTTTGCCACTGTCATCTGTCCAGCTATTTGGCGTAGTGTGTCCTGCATATACATAGGTTTCATCAATGTATACAATTGACTTATCTTCCCTTCTGTAATATTTAATTTTGTCCAAATATTTAATCAGAGCTCGAATATCATTCCGTTTAATTAATAAACGTCGATTATCTTTCGTTTTCTTCCATTTAAATCCCAAAACTTTCACAATTCTGTAGAGAGAACTCACACTTCCAGTCCACTCGTACACCTCTTCAAGCCTTTTCTGCAAAAGCTTCAATGATACACGACAACGTTTAGTCTCATGAAAACCATGAATGGTATTTCTAATAAACGGTTTGTCCGACTCCCTTAAGTTTGTCACGGTTGCTTTTTTTTAGCAAGTGTTGTAGCTGGAAATTTTACAGTATTATTTGATTCTGCGTTCAGAAATAATCTCTTTTAACAGTCTCATCAAACTTTACAGAGAAGTAAACATTTAAGCTTATTTATCAACAAAAATTTTCAATCTGGCGAAATATTTAAATCAACACGTCCTTGAAAGATTAGAATTATAATCTTGAAAATCATTATATGCTAATCTCAACATTTCTATAATAATTTATCGTTCGATAAACCGAAAATTGTGATAACAATATTCAAGAACGATATTTAAAAAAATGAGTTATTTATTATTAGGCAATTTTATAAAAAACAATTGTTACGGACATTAATTATAACTGTAACAGATCAAAAATCAGATCATCTAGATTAATTTTAACAAGTAAGTCCTTAGAGAATATTCAGTTTACACGTATGAAAGAAGCATTTCATGGTATATTAGACGAATTAAGTCTTACATAAATACTAAACGGATAGATAATCGGCTAAATTTTATAGGGAAAGAAGTAAAGACATTCGAAGAAGAGCAAAAAAGTTCCAGTTAACACATGGGTAAATACAAATATAGTGCCTTCATTAGCCTAATGGCCTATTAAAAATGATTTTAAAGTAATACAAATATTGTTACTATATTAACATCTTGGCTACAGTGTGAGATGCCGGCCTCGGTCTTTTGGGCCTAGGACTGCCCTCTCAAAAGTTCAAAGCTAGAGACTTTCTTTCTCAAATTCCTACTGTGTTTATTCCTTAGAACAATCTTAAAAAAGATGGAACACTCGAAGAAGAAATATTGGACAGGAATAAAAAAGGAAGAAAAAGAAGGAAAGAAAATATCAAGATTAAATACAGTCTTATAAGATAAAATAATGAACGAGAATAACAAGCGAATTTACAATATTATAGTAAAGAGGTCTACTATAATTGTGAATAGCTCCGAAGTATGACCTTTATAAAAATGGACAGAAAAGAGACCATTTGTATCTTTATCTTATCCGAA